GCCCCGAGCCGTCCCGGCGTGGCCCGCCCTCCTTCCACCTCGCCGGCCTCGGCCGTCGCTGCCCGCCCTGCCTTGCCCGGGGCTTTGCCTCTCTTCTGCCCTCGTTCTGCGCTCCCGCCCGCCCAGGCCACCTTTGTTGTCGCTTACCTAGGCAACCCCGCCTCAGCTTCTCTCTGTGGCACCGAGCCCGGCAGTAAGGGCTACGTAGCGTTCCCAGCTGGTTCCTTTCACTCTGATGGAGGAATAACTTCTTGTCTCCTCCACGAGTGGCTTTGGCACGGTCTTGACGTGAGGCTTGGGGCTGTTAGGTTGACGGTCAGGCCTGCTGATGCTTCCAGTATTCCAAGTACACCAACGTCCTCCAATTCGGCATATTCTTTGGCTGAGGATGTCATAATCTAGCCTGAAACATTCCCGAGAGAGGATGTTCTCTTTGAGAGCTTCAGCAGCGGCCCCAGATGGTTTTGATATATCTTTTGTTTTATTGATATGAAAATGGGTGTGTCTTTACTTTGCATTCCGAAGGTGGGTCTTGAAGAACTGTTCCATTGCTATAGTTGTTCTTGTCCTAAATAGAAGAGCAGTTATTGGAAAGTGATAAAGAAATATAGAAGAAGGGTTAGGATTGAGGAGGGGAAGGCTCCTCAGTGAGTAACGTTAGTGTCTGAGTTACCTGCGTGTGGCATGAGGGGTTACTGTGGCTAAATACTTCTCAAAGAACTGGGGGTGGTTTCAGTGCTGCAGGTGTTAAAACTGTTCATAAGTTTGTGTTTTATTTGTTTGTTTTTTCCAAAACTGCAGCTAAACCAAGAAGTCAGTGTTTTGTGTTTCTAGTTGTGTAAGGAACAAAGATGCATTCAGGGGCTTTGCTTGCAGAGGCCAACTGCTGGAGCTCTCTGTTATCTGCAAGAATCAGCTCAGAGGGAGCTTACTTGTAGCTCCTAGGCTGCATTTTGTCCTTTAAGAGGTTTTCATCTGTGTATTGCGAACAGTAGTTTCATCTTTGCAAAGCTTTAGCTTGTTACCTCTCATGGCTACAGAGTGCTTTGATGTCATGATTGAAAATATAACTCCTTGTAGATGGCAGAGGAACACTTGGTTAGAGATCAGTAGCCCTAGAGGCGTGCTGTGTAGGGTGTGATGATGATGCCTCCAGAACCAAATCATTGTTGTTATGAGTTTGCATAAGGGTGGCTTTTGGTGTGGAGAAAGTGTCATTGTTTTGCACCAAATAGAACTGAGCTTAATTTTGTTAAGGTGAGCTTAGGTTTTGTATTTGGAAGCTTTTTTTTCCCTTCAGTGGTTCTTGACTCGGAATTGCAAAAAAAAGATGGGTAGCACAGAACTGATGAAATAATTGCTTTATTGTTCCAGATTTCTTATTTGATGAGACTTGGTGGCTGCGTTCCCCTATAATGCAGGATTTTAGCACAGTTTCATACCTGCAAAAGAACGATGAACTATTAACAACCACACGTGCTTGCAAATCTTTTCTTTTTAATTTAAAGCCTAAGTTGTATGTTCCAACCATTCATGTATATTTAATTTATAATCTCCCAGCATACCAGTCTAAACAAGACCGAAGACTAAATGGTAAGCCATGTGCAGTCAAGGGGCAGGACAGGCTAGGGCAAAAACCCCTACAACTTTTCACATAGCTGAAGACTCCCTTCTTCAATGTGTTTGCTGTGCAGGGGGTGAGGAGGTTGTGAGGGCTTAACCACAAAGTGAAATTTTAGTTATAAGTATGTCTTGCTTGGTGTGAAATATGGTTATAATACTAAGATAGGCTCCTGAAGTTTGTTAAGGACCAGTGGATAAGAGACAACAAAAAAGGATGTGGGAGTGGGAAAGGAAAACTCTCAGTTACCTGTGAGTTTAAATCCTCCTTTCTTAAGTCGTAAGCCACTTAATGCAAAACTCATCATTGTGTTTGCAGCTAACTTTTTTTTTGTTTCGTAAATACTGTGAGGAACTTGCTGCTGACCTTCAGACACATTCACTGCTTTGTATTTCACTGGCTATACCAAGTTTTAAGGTGTTTATGAGTTACTAACTGCACCATGAAGCTAAGCAGGGCAAATCCAGATGTGGTGTAGGGTGTGGAAGCCACACTAAATACACCGGGTCTGCAGGAGCAGGGCACATACTGCTGTTTTCCAGTAAGTAGTGCTCTTCTTGAATGACCAAATGTTCATCTTAGCCACAGAGAACTTGCTGACTTCATGGGAAACAACAAATACTCCTAAATAGTTGGTCAGCCTGCTGTGTGGGCAAGTTGCGTGCTCTGGGAGACGCTGCAGAGATCTGCCAGCTAGTCAGTTCTTAGGACACCAGCGCAGGTTACTGCCATTGCTGGGAATTTTTTTTTAACCTTTGATTGGAAAATGGAAGTGATTTTCAAGGCTGAGCAGAATTAATAAATTTAACTTTGACCATGAATTTATATTTATAGCGTGTTTTATGCTGATAATAAAACAGAGACAAATTAAGATTGCAGTGTGACACTTAATTGTAGCTGTGTATTTGGGTGGGAGTCCCCTCGTGGTGTCTTGGCTGTAAGCAGCACAGCGGAACTGCTCAGCTCGTGTTAGGCCTCGGTCTGCACATGTGTTTGGATTTATGCTGTCCAACGTGAGTCACTGGCATCCCAGTGTAAGTGCTATTTCCATGGAGCCTCTCCCAGTGCTGCCGGTTGGCAAGGCTTTGTCTCCCCAGGCTGTGAAGTGTGCGTTCCTCCAGCAGATGGAGTGGGATGTACACAGAGTCTCTGAGCTTACCTGGCTCTTGGCTTAGAGGGCCAGCACTGGTATTTGGTAGTTATTGCTTGCTGGAACGTTTCCGTCTTTGCAGATTTGCAGCTAATTCCTGTAGCACCGAGGCAACGCTTTTGTTCAAGGCAGGAGCACACTCAGAATCTCAAGTTGATGCTAAGTTATTTAGCACTTGTTGTGTTTTTTTGAGTTATGGTGGTGGAACGTGAATGTGTTTTGCAGACTAGCAAACCACATTATCTTGTAAACTCATGTGTAAAGATTCATGATTGTGTTACAAAACTGTTATCTTAAACAATAGCTTTTGATTCAAATTTGAGCCTCGACTTGGAATGAATTATCTGTCCATATCCCAGCACATGACCTTGAAATTAAAATTATTTCTGTTCCTTTGACATGGTGAATATAGGCCACTACTGGAGGCAGATCTTATGTTCATGCAGATTCCATATGTCCTTTCAGAACAATATGTACAGACTGGAGAAAAGCTACAAGTCATGAGAAAAAATAAGTTCTTGGGAGTTATTTTAAACTGTTTCTCTTCTTCACTGTTCTCTTGCGCTCTGCAGTGAGGAAGATGATGACTTTCAATATATGGATCATGACTATGAAGTACCACAGCAGAAAGGTCTGAAGAAGATATATAACAGGGTAAAATGGACACGTGATGAGGTAATCATGGGCTTTGGCTTCAGTTTCATTTCTATATGATACTGGTAGCACATGAAATATCTTGTTATTATTTAGTAACATATTGGGGTAGCATTTATTGGCTGAAGTTATGTCTTAACAGGATGAAAAGCTGAAGAAGCTGGTAGAACAAAATGGTACAGATGATTGGGCTTTCATTGCTAGTCATCTACAAGTAAGTTGAATCTATGTTTCAGTTAAGTTGCCTTTTAATATTTAGCTACTATGGTCATACATCTGGTTTGGAAATAAGGTGAAACAGGAATCAGAAACACATAATAGTAAAAACACATTTTAAAGAATGCTTGTAAATTGGACTTGAGGTCCAGCTCAGACCTTGGAGAACCTTATTAGCTCAGGCATATTGCTAAGGATTGGAGCAGCTACCCTGAGAGCCACAAATTTTCCCACAGACAGATTTTTGGAGGCTAAATGAAGGCTTACTTTTCTTTCATAACTGGGAACGATATTTCAAAAGATCCTTAGTGAGGGTACAGAAAAGCACCATCTGTCCTGAGCAGAGAAAGCAATGTTATTTAATTAGTATGTGTTAGCTAAACTTGATAAAAATCTGTTTTTCTTAACACTCTAGTAAAGAGCTGAGAATAAATTCATTTGGGACTTGGAAAAAAGTTTATTATTTTATTTGAAAGAAAAGGTATTTCCTTCAAAAAATTATTTCCTTGTATGGCTTATAGATAATGTCAAAAAGCATGTCAGTCATGCAAAGTTCAGAGAAGGTGTGGAGTAATGAGGACAAAAATAATTCTAAGTTTTTCTTTAAATAAGAGAAAGTTCTGAATTTTATTATTGAGTAAGAACATTGAAGTGATTAGATTAGAGCCTTGTGCAAGGCTGTTTTTTTTCTGGAGAAGAGTTTTTATAAACGAATGGAAGAAGATATAATGGGGAGAATTTAACTATTAGACTTCTTCAGACCTTTGTTCTAAGTATATTAATTTGAAATAAGCTAACAATTCTGGCTATCTAATATCTGCAGCTTTATGTATTTGAGAGTTTAACAGCTATGTTGGTCTTCTAAAACTATTTCAGAATCGTTCGGATTTTCAGTGCCAGCAACGATGGCAGAAGGTACTAAACCCAGAATTGATTAAAGGTCCCTGGACTAAAGAAGAAGATCAGAGGGTAATAAAAACTAATCAACACTGTACTCTTTTACTGTAACAAAGTTGGCCCATGAGTGCTACAAGCATGTACTTTTTCTTGGGTTTCGTCGCCAAACAGGTGATATTGGATGCCTGATGCATCTCATGATGTAGATAATCACATTACATCATGCTGTGTGAGAAGGAAAAAAACGAACCTGCAGCTGCTATTAAATAGATGGAATGTCTGGCCTACTCAAGCATTTTGTGTCCCTTTGCTCAGGGTGCGAGCTGAACTACTCTAGCTTAGCAAGTAGAGGAGATCTCTTTACAGTACTAAAGGACACATTCACATCTTTTGTTCCTCAAACCCACCAGACTCCAAAGGGATCTGGAATAAGGGGAATTATTTCACCCTCTACTGGTAAAGAAGCTGGCAATGGTGTGTTACAACTCCTCACCTCTGAATCCACGCTGCAGCTTTTTGCTTGCAAAACCTGGACCGCCCTGTAGGGATGTGCACATGGAGCTTTCACATATGGCATTTCAGATAGACTGCTTATTCCCATTGTTGTAATCAGTTTTAAGCTCTTTAAAACTCGTGTTTATCAACTTAGAAGCATGATCCTCCTAATCTCTTTTTCACAGTTCTCATCACTCTTTTAAGAAAAAGCTTCTAATGTGTAAAAACGTAGAAATGGGATGGAGGGTGGGGGTAGAGGTGTGAGGTTTTTCTCATGTGTGTGTTGTTGACAGAAGTAAAACCAAGCATCTTGTTTTTTCCAATTGTCAGCTTATGCAATGGGTGACAGAAAGGAAACCTCCAAATGAATGTTTTCATCAGTGTATACTTATATTCTAAACACAGTGAATTTGAAGTTAATAAGCTTTATTTATTGAAAAATAATCTTTAATATCCCTTGTCACTGTCTGCCTCCTTAGGCCTAGTGTCTTATCAGGTTGACTATTCTAATCCTATTCTAAAATGTTAATTTATCATCCTTCTCAGTCTTTGATTAGGTTTTGGAATTATAACGTGCTTTCATCTGTGTTCCAGGTTATTGAGTTAGTTCAGAAGTATGGTCCAAAGCGCTGGTCTCTGATCGCAAAGCACCTGAAGGGAAGAATAGGCAAGCAGTGCAGGGAGAGGTGGCACAACCACCTCAATCCTGAGGTGAAAAAGTCCTCGTGGACAGAAGAAGAGGACAGAATCATCTATGAAGCTCACAAGCGTTTGGGAAACCGATGGGCTGAAATAGCAAAACTACTTCCTGGAAGGTGCTTTTCAACTCTATTTGTTAGATGTTGGAATGTGGAAAGCAGTCATCACATTACTCTTTCCAGTATAGTTTGTTAGTCAGAGAGTATCTCGTGTAAATTAAGTCAGAACTTCTTTATCTTGATAGATGCTGAAATTTTTAAAGATCTTTTGTGTTTGATTATGTATTTTTAAAAAGCCTTAAAACCAATAAAAAGATTTCTAACGTTTTTCAGGTTCCTTCAAAAATCCTCCTGGTGACTTGGAAAAAAAGTGTAGTAGAGCTGAAGAGAGTAACTGCAAGTAATAGTGGCAGAATGCCTTAAGATCCTGTGACTTGATGTCAAAGTGCCTTCGTTAATGTGCATTTGGGGGTGACTTTTTTTGGTTTAAGATCAGAAATTCCTTTTTTGAATTTTTTTTTTTTGTGGGACACTTTTTGTTCATCAGGACACTCAAAAAAGGAATCTCAGTAACTTCCAGAAGTCCAGGCTTAGGAGTCATGCATTGCAAAACCAGTTAGTCTCCAAGTTACTAATTAATTGTATGTATTCTCCTTATCTTTGTTTCAAGTGTGATTGCCATTTTATGTGCTTCTGGAAAACAAAATCTTAGTGTATAAAGAGTTTAATGATTTTTTTTACCTTGTACTGTTAATTGAAATTTGATGTTAAACTGTCCCTCTCTCAATTCAGAAGTGTGGGTCTTCAGGAGGTGACTGTCTAGCTGTGCCTAGGGGATGTCAGCATTTGAGTCCACAGAGATGTATGTTTAAAAATTTGACTTTTTGATTAAGTACAATCACAGAATCACAGGAAATCCTTTGGAGGCATGTGAAGGGAATGGATTGTATCTCCGTGGAACTTGAGAGAGAGGGGAGATGAGTTTGTAAGGTCAAGAGGTAGTGTCAGGGTTCTCACTCATGATAACAGCCAGCACCAAGGCTTTCTCTTTTGCCACTCTTAATTTCCTGCAGATTTGAAGTTTAGTAGAAGGCATTTTTGAAAAGCTTAATTTCTAGTAGATGATGTCAAAATCTCGCTGCTAACAGAACTTTCAGTCCAAGCTGCTGGAGTTTTCTGGATTTATCTTTGAGTTAATCTGCTGTACAAACCTGTAAATTGTGCCTTATTAAACTTTGAAATATGGAAACCAGTCACTGTTGTACACTTTCATTTTAGGACTGATAATTCAATTAAAAATCACTGGAATTCAACAATGCGAAGAAAGGTGGAACAGGAAGGATATTTACAAGACACTGTAAAGTCTGAAAGAGCTAATTCAGCCACACTTCAGCCCCAGCCTAGTCTGACTGTGGAAGACTTGCACACTCAGAATCAATTTTACATACCTGTTCAGACACATGTAAGTTCAAAATCCAGAATGATTAGTATTTCTGAGTTTCAAGGAATTTACTGGGTTTGGAAGAAGAAACAAATCTGAAGGGACGGAGATCTGCTGAGCATTTTTGTGACATTATGCTAACTTAGGATTCGCAAGCCATAATAAATAGTTAATGAATAATAAACCAGAGGTAAGTTTACTGCCTGCTTTTCTTTAGGGTTTGTAAAATGATTTATGTCGTTTTAGATTTCAGCATACCAGTATGTCACACCAGAAGGCAGCTGTCCAGAGCACCCTTCAGCTTCTTCCAACTTAGTTCAGGTAAATTAACAGCACATTCTCAAGCAGAATGATAATCCTCACTTTATCTGTGTTTATAGCAGTAGAAAGTTTTAAAGAGATTAAAAACAAACCAACCAAGCAAAACCAATTAGTTAATTTTCTGATAATAGTGGTTGGATTGCTTGTGTGGGTACTGTTAGCCAGTGATGGTTTGAAACAATTTCTTGCACACTTACTTAGGATAAATAACTCAAAAGAATGTGAAAACACAAACACATCTATCCAGGTCCCAACACTGTTGATGCTATTAAAGACAGAACTGAATGAGTTTTGGTTAAAAAGTGCCATAATGTACTGAGCATTTACATGCAATGTGAGCAATCTGTTAGAACAGTTGCTTGTGTGCCACTTTAGCATCAGATCCATCTCCTGGTGACTGCTGGAGTTGTTTCACTTCTGAGTAACTACTGTATTACAAAATATGGCCCTGTTGAACAGCTCTGTTCCTGCTGTGTGTGGGCTCCTGTGTTAGAGTGTAGAATTTCTGTTGTGGTGGGGGTGGAAAATAGTAATGGCATCTTTCTTAAATTTTTCAGCAGTCATTTGTTGATGATGATCCTGATAAAGAAAAGAAAATAAAGGAACTTGAATTGCTACTTATGTCAGCAGAGAGTGAAATCAGAAGAAAACAAATGTCTTCTGTAAGGACTGTAAATTTCTGTAAATATTTGAATGCACTTTACTGAGATCAATCCTCAGCAATTTAGTGGTGGAAGTTTGGGGGGTTTTGTGTGTTTTCGCCTGACCTTCTGAAATCAAACCTATGACTGTTGGGTAGTAAAACAAAGTCTATATTTTAGAATTGAGGAAAATTATTTTTAGTGCAGTTTTCTAAACTGAAAACAGCAGAAAGATGACCTGCAATTTGGCCTTTGTTCCAAAGATGCAGGATTACAATCCTCTTCCAGAGATAGCGTGTTTGGTGATGTCACTGCCGTTCAGTTTTATAGATCAGCAATGTCTACTGTCTGTTCGACAGAGAAAGGTAAAAAATACCTAGGGTTTGCCCTATTTAATTTCAAAACATCCTATAGATTATATTTTTATCAGAATTTTGAGTCCTTGTGACACTTACTACCCACCTTTGAACATGACAAACAGTATATAAATTTGCACTGTACGAAATTTACACGTACTTCAGAGGAATGTGGGAGACTTGCAGCTGGCAGTCACTCACTTCCTCAGGAACACAGATCTTTGATCAGCCTCAGACACCCAACCAACTCAACCCTATTGGTTGCTAATTTAGATTACAGGTGAACTTCCAGTTTTATGTGGTAGAGCTATTCCTGGTATTCTCTTGAAACAGTGCAAAGCTCTGTTTATCTAGTAGAATCTGCTTTGCTTTGCCAGTGAAAATTAAAATCTGTTTCTCAAGTACTAAGCAGCATACTAAAGTGGGATTACCATGTAGAAGTTGAACAAATTTATCAATGGAGAATCTGCATTTAAAAAAAAAAAAATCTAAGTAGTAGTATTCCATGCTGTAGAAACAGTTTCTAATCTTGAAATGTGCCTGTGTCCTGTAGTGAAGATGACTTTGTAATATACTGATGTTCAGGAACCCAGGAAACTTGCATCAGAGATAGCTTCCAGTGCTACCCATAATTATCTAAGTTATAAGCATGTATGAGGTATGAATGAGAGGTAAGATAAAAATATTACACAATTTGAGACCACTGAGTGTGTGGATGTAAGGAGAAGACTGACTGCATTAAAGCAGATATTTCGTGTTCAAAAAAGCAAAAATGGTTGTGCTGAGTCTTTCCAAATACTACCTTTTTTTTTTTCCTCCCCACAGTCACATAATTGACTCTGTTCAGCTTCTGAGTTGGATAAGATTAACGTGTTTCTTCATACTTTTTAGCAAGCTGGAAATGTACCTTGTTGGTCTGGAAGTTTTGTCATGGAAGATTGTGTGTCTAATACACTAAATAGCTTTGAGGAGCAAACAAGTGAGTTCTACAGCATGGATGAGACCCAAAGCACATCTGTTCAGCAGAATTCACCCCCTAAGTATTTGGCAGTGGAAGCAAATACAATGTTATCATCTCTACAAACCATTCCAGATTTTGCAGAGACGTTAGAGCTTATTGAATCTGTAAGTCTGTATTTATTCTAAAAAACCCCAAGCCCCATGTTTAGGAACATCAGTTTACACAAGATGTATAAGATACTCTTGGAATTGTTACGCTGTACTTCTCTGCAGTTTTGCCCTTATTGAGAGATGTGTTTTATTGTCTGTTTTAAAAGAATTGTGGTTTAAATTATTCAGTGTTTTAGGATACAGGGAGAATAATTTGGTTTATGGCTTCTGGAGGTAGAGAGCTGTTAGATGGGCCGAAATAAGCTCGGATAAGCCTATAGTGTGTGAGGGTTTTGCGTCTTGCCTCGTAGGATCCGGTGGCGTGGAGCGACGTGACCGTTTTTGAGCTCTCGGAGGCTGCGGGGTCTCCTGCCAAGGCAGCTCCAGTGAAGCTGATGCGGGTGCACCACAACGAAGGGGCTGCCGAGTGCCAGTACGACGTCAGCGTCCTGCTCGGTGCTGACAAGCTCGGCGCCATCGGCACCCAGGAAGAGGCAGTTTTACCAACAAGCCCAAACGTAAAATTCAGCACTCCACCTACTATCCTAAGGAAGAAAAAGAGATTGCGTGCTGGGCAGTCACCAGTGAAGGAACTGAATGGTGGCCCATGTAACGATGCCGTCGGCACTGCGCTGAAGCACACCCCTGTGAAAACACTACCATTTTCTCCATCACAGGTGAGTGTCTTTTTGAATGTGACTAAACATCATGACTGGAGTGGGTGGATTGTAAATTGCAAGTATTTTCTTCCCTAGTCATACATCGTAGCCTAAACAAATGCCCCAAAACTCCCTAAAACACCTGCATAAGCTTAGATATATTAAAGGGAAATTGTTAAATAACCTGCTTCCTCTGTTCTGAAGACTAACTGGGGATAGGGTGGAGTGGGTGGGTGACGACATATGTTTCAGCTCACACTTTCTCATGCAAATAATTGTTGATAGAGAGCCATTGTCTCTGTGACCTAATTAAGCAGTAGGGATCTTAAAGAGAAAAATCAAGGTTTCAGCAATAAATATCACAAATGTCTTGGGAGTATAAAACAAGAATTGTTTATTGAGATTTGTCAGTAAAAGCCCTTCAGAAATATAAAAATAACTTTTTTGATTGCTCAGTACAGTGGTGTTTTGTCCTTGAAGGTTGCTTAGTTTTTTTTTTTTTTTTCCTCTCTTGCACTTAGTTTTTCAACACTTGCTCTGGAAATGAACAATTCAACCTTGAAAATCCTGCATTTACATCAACTCCAATCTGTGGGCAGAAAGTTCTTATTACAACTCCTTTACATAAGGAAGTGGCACCAAAAGATCAAAAGGAAAATGTGGGGTAGGATTATTATCTTAAACATCTGGTGGTGGTGCTCAAACAAAACCATGTTTTTTCTAAACGTTGCATGCTGTGAGTTGTAAACCCCCTAATGCTTAAATGCTTGTGTACAAACAAACTGACTTCCTGTTTTTAACTTAACAGAAAGTGGCTGATACTTAGTTCAGATATTTCCTTTTTAAAATGCCGAACAAAACCCAATTAGTTTGATACACCTGGGGTAATGCTATTGGTGATCTTGATACTGTTGGATTCAGGGGGGTGATATCTGTTGTGTAAATTAAGGTGGTTTAAACTGTTTCTTAAATTCATTTTATTACATTGCTATTTATAAAGTAAAATATTGAAGTGCACGTATGAACACTTTTCTGTGCTTGACTAGTTTTAGAACTCCCACAATTAGAAGATCTCTTATGGGTTCAACACCAAGGACACCAACTCCTTTTAAAAATGCTTTGGCTGCTCAGGAAAAGAAGTATGGTCCCCTCAAACTGATGGTACGTGATGACATTTTTTATTTTTGTCTCTGTTCAAGCTTAAGTGTGCTCTTGTTTTCGAGCTGTTGTTCTTGAGCCTCAGCATGACCTGGGGAAGCATTTGCTTACAATGCTGTTGTTCCAGCGACGTTCGGTATATCCTAGAGAACAGCTGGAACCTGAATCCAAAGTTTCAGGTTTTGCACGTTAGACTGGTGTCCTTCAGCATGGTGTGGAGGCCCTGCCTTGGCAAGTGGTGATTGATACACAGAATTGTTTGGTCCCTAGTCAGTTTGAACACATCAGTTCTGCATTTGTGCATACAGTTGTGCATATAGTGCAGCCTTGCTAACACTACCTCCTACAAGGTGGGAACATCATTGCCTGAGGCTTTAGTTTTAATACTTTAGCTTTCTGTTTTTTCAAAATAAAAATTGTGAGAGAGTGAATGGGTTATCCACCGACTGGATAATCTAGTTGGAGCAAACTGGTGCAGAGGAATGTGGCAGACTTCAGGATTTGAAACAACTTTCACATTTGACTTGAAAAGCAACGTTATCTCTGAATCCTCTGGACTGCGTAAGAGCCGAGATGTTTCCTGGTTTTGGTTCTTCTGCTGTGCCAGGACTGAAACTAAATGTTTACCAGAGCAAAAAATTCCAAGTATTTTCTTGATAGGAAGATGCTTGGAAGTGTTTTGTCCTTCCTATGGGTTTACTTGAATGACATTTACAATTTTCTTCATCCTAAACCCCAGATTAGTAATTCCTCTGATTCTTCGGGGTGTCGCAGAAGGCTTTTTTTGGTTGACTATGGATGATGTAACTTTTTTTGTTTGTTTGTTCTAAACGAATTCAGTTTTCACTCTAGCTAAGGCATGTTAATGCATGATAACTTTTGGAATTCAGTAGACATACGGTTTTCAAGTTCTGAAAAAATTCCAGCCAGTATATATTGAATACTTCTTTTCTGCAAACACAGAAGGTAGCTCACTTTGCCACAGGGCTTGGCACCATCTGTGTTACACTATAGATTCGCAGCCTCTCACTATGCAAATGGAGTGGTTTGGCATT